TATATTTTTCTTTCTTTTTTTTTCTTTTCTATGAAGTGTGCATTAAAATAACTGATTAAATGGGACCTTTAGGCTTATACACTCCCTGAAATATATTTGCAGTAAGGATGAAGTTATGCCACTTTCAGAACAATATCTATTTGAAGTGGAAATCTTTCTATACATTGTGATTGCAGAAACCTAAAAATCAAGGTGTTGTCTGTCAGCACATTCTGTAGAACTCAAAGGCAGTTTAAAGGTGTTTGTACTTTATGTGAGTGTCACGTTGGCAAGTCCCTGACCTCCACCATCACATTCACACTGGCCAAATTTTACTTATCTATTCCTCTTTCAACCTCTTCTTTCTATGCTCTTATATTTTCCAGAACCTCTTCAATCGTCACTATAATCTTCATTTTCAATACTGGGCAGTTTCAGAATGATATAGGGTTGAGTGAGTGTGGGTGTTAAAAAGCCAAGTGTCACATTACAGCTCACCACAAAACTAATGGCATTAACAAAGAAGGAGCATCTGCTAGAGATGTGCGCACAGTGAAGTCAACTTTGCTTTCCATAAGCCATTACTCTGAAGATGCCAAAAGGAAAACTAGACAGAAAATGCAACACAAGATAAAGCTAGAGCAAGGGGAAAAATAGCTGGGAAGGAGAAGGCTAGGAGAAGAAAATACCACCAAAAGTTACAACTAAGCTCCAGCCAGAGCAGAATGGAGGTAAAACTAGGACAGAAAGGAAGAAAAAGACAGGATACAGGATTGGCCAAGACCAGATGTTTCATGAAGTTAATTTTCTAGCAGAAACTGAAGTCTAGCCAAATGAATCATCTGCCGCAATAAGCTGCCTTGAAATATAATGTAGGATTTAAGTTTTATCAATCTCTTTATTTCAGGGGTTTCCAACCTTTTTCTGACCAGGGACCACTTTGGTCAGGGACCACTTTGATCAGGGAACACTTTACCAGGGACCACTTGACCAGGGCCCACTTTGACCAGGGCCCACTTTGATCAGGGAACACTTGGATCAGGGAGCACTTGACCAGGGACCACTTTGACCAGGCCCGTAGCCAGGATTTTGATTTGGGGGGAGCTGAGTTTGATTCGGGGGGGGGGGGCTGAGTCTGAGTGAAAGAGGGTCTACCCTAGCAAACCTTTTGTATTGTTACCCCAATACCCCCATGCATATGGGATATATTGAGCATGGTGATCAGATCATGATATGAATAAACATAACAGTTTAAATAATGTACCAGTAAGGCCTTCTGGCAGACCACCATGAGAATTTGGGGGGGGGGTCTGAAGCCCCCCAAGCCCCAGTTCAAAAGTATATGGCAATGATTCCCAACCTTTTTTTTGACCAGGGACCACTTCACCAGGGACCACTCTCCAACATTAGTACCAAATGGTGTACGAATCAGTTTTTGGTCAACTTTAGATTCGGTTTGGTTATTTAGTGTGCTGATTCAGAAAATTTCATTGGACAGACAACATCCACTCTAGTTTCTGATACAGAACATATGTCATCCAGTAGTCGCCATCTGCTTGACCACAGAAAACCATATTTAATCATCTAGGCCGTGGACCTTTTTAGGTTTTGCAGCCCATCAGTGGGCTGTAGCCCACAGGTTAATAACCACTACTTTATTTGAACACAGCAAATAAGTCTTAGCGAGAGGAAGGGCCACATTTAAAAGTGGCATCAATCAGAATGAGACCAAAAGGCCATCAAACTCAATTGAGAACATGAGCCATGCAGCAAAGATGATTGAGACTTACAGAACCTCAGATGAGTGCACAGGTTTCTAGAAAAATGTGGGTCTGGATTTTGAAGATTTGCTCCATTTTTGCTTACCAAACTCAAGATGCATATTGCAGCATGTGAGTTTTATTTGCATACACATGCACGCACACACTCAAGATACAAAATGAGGAGAAACCCAATCACCAAGTGTGTATCCCAACTACAAAAGAAATGAGATAAAGGCATATTCCAACAGGAAGATTTACAGCTTTGAAAACCACTATCTAAAAAGCCAGAAGCCAGCAGCTGAACATTATCACTTAAAGGATCAGTGAAGAATGACCAAAGAGGAGACCCAAGTAAACATGTTGAGGAAGAGGTTTCCACAATGTAGAAGCGACATGGCCCCAGTAATTCGGAGGTATATGTGCATACTGCTTTAACTAGAAAATACATAAAGACTGAGTGTGTACAGTGCATGAGTTAGCACGCATCCGCCCTGTAAACGAGAAGCCATGTTTTTGAAGTGATTATGACTTTGTATTCAGGGCTCCCCAAAATAAAGGTCTGAGGACTTGCTGATGTTGCCAGAAGGCTAGTGGGGTGACTCAGTTTCTGACACACACTCTTCTAAACAACTATGAAGAGTGATTCAAAACTGAGGGATTTATTGTATCAGAAGTGAACCGAGGGTACAGTTGTAATGTATTTAAAAATACAAACAAAATTTAGAAGCTTGACATTATACTAAATGTCCTTTGACCAGTAGCTGGCCACTTGGAGTGCCTCTGGTGTTGCTATAAGAAAGTCCTCCATTGTGCATGTGGCAGCGCTCAGGCTGCATTGTCTGTGGTTTGCTCTTCTCTACACTCACATGTTGTGGACTCCACTTTGTGGCCCCATTTCTTAAGGTTAGCTTTGCATCTCATGGTGCCTGAGCACAGTCTGTTCAATGCCTTCCAAGTTGCCCAGCCTTCTGTGTGCCCGGGGGGAAATCTCTCATTTGGTATCAGCCATGGCTTGAGGTTCCAGATTTTAGCCTGCCACTTTTGGACTCTTGCTTGCTGAGGTGTTCCTGCAAGTATTTCTGTACATCTTAGAAAACTATTTCTTGATTTAAGGCACTGGCATGCTAGGATGGGCCGGAGACGTCACTGCCTTAGTCCTTTCATTATTGGTTGCTACTTCCCAACGGATGTCAAGTGGTGCAATACTATCTAAATAATACAATTTTTAAGTAGTGTAGGGTGTAGAAATCCTGTGATAATGTGGCATGTCCCATTAAGAACCACATCCACTCTTTTAATGCAGTGAGATGTGTTCCACACTAGGCATGCATACTCAGCAGCAGAGTAGCAAAGCACAAGGGCAGATGTCTTCACTGTGTCTGGTTGTGATCGCCAGGTTGTGCCAGTCAGCTTTCGTACAATATTGGTTCTAACACCCACTTTTTGAGGAATGCTAACAGGGGAAAGCATTGGGAAATACAAAATTTCTGGGTAGAGTTTGCTGCACTGTCTCCAATCAAATAATTTTCAATTCTCTCTCTCTCAAACACACACACACAGGGGGAGAAAGAGAAAGAGACCACTTCTTAGATCATGTAACCTTCTGGCGTCTTCCATTATATCGGTGAAGGAATCAGTACCGAATCTTATGTGAACACCAATGCCCTTATGTGAACACAGAACATAGGCCTTGGCAAGCGGAAGGGTGACATTTAAAAATGACATCAAGCAGAATGAGACTGGCCCAGGACAATGTATGAGCCATGTAACAAAGAGGACTGAGACTTAGTCCCCTTCCACACAGTTGAATAAAATCCCACATTATCTGCTTTGAACTGGGATATATGGCAGTGTGGACTCAGAGCTCTGTGAGTGCAGCATTCTTCCAAATGAAGCAGAGAGTGTTTGAGAACCAGGACATCCATAAGGATATCAAGGTGCTTGTTTATAAAGCCACTGTCCTCCCAACTTTGCTATACACCTGCAAAATGTGGACTGTCTACAGGCGTCATAAACAACTCCTGGAACAATTCCATCAACACTGTCTCCGAAAACGCCTGCAAATCTTTTGGGAAGACAGGCAGACAAATGTCAGCATGCTGGAAGAAGCAAAAACCACCAGAATTGAAGTGATACTCCTCCGCCATCAACTCCGCTGAAATGGCCACATTGTCCGAATGCCCGATCACCATCTCCCAAAGCAGTTACTCTACTCTGAACTCAAGAATGGAAAATGGAATGCTGGTGGACAGGAAAAGAGATTTAAAATGGGCCAACCTCAAAAACTGTGGCATAGACATTGAGAACGGGGAAGCCCTGGCCCTTGAGCATTCTAACTGGAGGTCAGCTGTGACCAGCAGTGCTGCAGAATTTGAAGAGGCACGAATATAGGGTGAAAGGGAGAAACATGCCAAGAGGAACTCTGACCGGGACTGTCTTCTGTCTGGAAATCAATGTCCTCACTATGGGAGAAGATGCAGATCAAGAATAGGACTCCACAGTCACCTACGGACCCACTGCCAAGACACTACATCTGGAAGACCATCATCCTCGAGCTCCAAGGGATTGCCTAAGTAAGTAAGTAAAGTAAGTTCAAAGCAGATATTGTGGGGTTTTCTGCCTTGATATTCTGGGTTATATGGCTGTGTGGAAGGGCTCTTAGAGGGTCTCAGAACAGTGCACAGTTTCTAGAGAAATGTGGGTCTGAATGTTGATGTGTGTTGGTTCCTATCACAAGCTCCATGGCCATGAACAAAACCACAGATCGCCTCGCTCCTCGTCACTGTTGCCACCACCCTAAAAACGCCAAGGATTTTGTTTCAGTTCTGCAAAAAGACTTCCATAGTCTGGCCTTTGCTACAGATGCACACTTGAAAGTGCAGCCTGCTCTTCACAAGAGGATGCAGGTGTCTGAGCCACCCCCACGGGTCCCTCTTCCCCCATGCTTTTCGCTGGACCCTAACAGAGCCAAAAGCGACCCCAACCCCCATTCCCAAACAGGCTTAACCACAGCTACTTCGAACTTTGGGTGGAAGGGGGACATGAGACTAAGTTCGGGGGTGGGGGGAGGTAGGGTAGCTGCAACTTCCTGCCCCAGTTAGAGAAGAGGCCTCTTGACATTTCCTGTGGTTTGGAGCAAGGAGGAGAAAGATAGCAAGTGTCATGTGATGATCGCTCGGAGTGGGAGGAGACGCACGGTAGGCTGGGTCGGCTAAGGCGTCTATAAATGGGCCCAACCCCACTGCTTCCATCTCTTTACTGCAGCTGGCGACCTGTCTCCTGAGCTGGCCTGATTACAACCAATCAAAAGGTAGATTTTCCGTAATCCCTATGGGCTGTTGGGTAAGGGTTGGGGACAGTGGGCCAACATTTTGGCTTGCAACACTATTTGTGAATGGAGAATTAGGGTATTTATTTATTCACAGTATTTATATTCTGTCCTTCTCGCCCCTCAAGGGACTCAGGGCAGATTACAATGCACATATACATAGCAAACATCCAATGACATTTAAACATATAATATATATAGACAGAGAGGCAATTTAACATTCCAGCTTTTTCCAGCTTCATGAGGGTATGCTCAGTTCCAACCACAGGGGGAGCTGCCGCTTCACCCTCCATTTGTGACACTGGGTCTTTTGATGGAGTACTTCCTCATTCTTCTGCATACTGCTGGAAGGTTTTATGGCATCGTAAAATAGTTAAATTAGCCTCCTCGCATAAAGTGGTTCCTAAATTTCCTACTTGACAGATGCAACTGTCTTTCGGGCTGCATAGGTCAACAGCAACCTAGACTATTGATGATCGGGAGCTTACTCCGACCCAGGCTGGCTTTGAACTCATGACCTCTTGGTCAGTAGTGATTTAATGCAGCCGGCTACCAAAAAACTGTGCCACAGCCCGGTAGGGGTATTTTGCAATGATCAGGGACCAGATCTCTTAGATCAGTGGTTCTCAACCTATGTGTCCCAAAGTATTTTGGCCTACAACTCTCAGAAATCCCATCCAGTTTACCAACTGTTAGGATTTCTGGGAGATGAAGGCCAAAACATCTGGAGACCCACAGGTTGAGAACCACTGTCTTAGATTCTTTGACTGCAGCACACACTGGCATATTTCAGGAGTGTTATGGGGTCAAGAATGTTTAGAGATCAATTCCTGTATCTGGGATGATCTTTCAGATACTTTGGTGCTTTCAAAACAGGGAGAAGAGCTGGAGAAACTCTAAAGTTCTCTTAGGTTGCTTTATTTGAAGACATGGATTTGCATCTTTCAAAGTATGCAAAAGGAACTGGAGGAAGGGCTGGGCGGCAGCAGATAGGACATCAATCCCAACGCTGCACACTGTCTTAAGCACACTTAAAATGGGAAGCAAGAATGGGGAAGTTGCGCCAGTCAAACCGCCGTGCAGCTCACGCATGGAGAAATATGGCGGATACAACAGCCAGTGGGGGAACAGTCATGACTCTTCAAGCACTCGGCTGGTGAGAAGAGGGTTCTGGGAAATATAGCGTGCACACCCTCTAGCGTTAGGGAAAGAAACTGGTTGTTCTTTCTGGCGGCAAATGTGGTTGAAGCTTCCCAAGTTCAGATCTACCTTTCACTTGCTCCTCCTTTCTATGCAGAAGTGTGCAGCTTTTCAAGAGATGGAAAAGGAACGAAACTTGCACCTGGCCCTTGAATAAATCTGGGTGATTTAGGATCCCATACCAGGAAATCCGATCTCTCTTCATGAATCCTGTTCTAAGACAAACATACAGACCAAGGCAACAGGTAAGGCATGAAAATCCCTTCTCCACATCTGGAATTCAAGTAGGATCTAACTGGGTGGAATGGGGGGAAAAAACAAACCATTTTAGAAGGCTTTTAAAAACCAAAATACAAAATACTCACCGTAGGAACAGCAGACTTGTTGCTGTACCTGAAAATTAATTCCAAAGTGAATTCAGTAAGAGAAAAGCAGAGGGCCTTCTTGCTAAAGTCATGGGAGATTGTGGAGAAAGGAATATGAATAATTGAGGAAAAATCCAGTTATGAATTCTAATAAGGAGCAGAAGGGGGGAGGAGGAAAAATACAAGATCGTCACAGGAAGCAAACCGAGATATGAATTGCAGATCCATGTGGGGAAACGGTTACATATAGGCTTTGAAAATGCTTAATGATCTTAAAAAAAAACTCTTGAATTTATTGTTGAAGGCTTTCATGGCCGGAATCACTGGGTTGCTGTAAGTTTTTCGGGCTGTATTGTCATGTTCCAGAAGCATCCTGAAGATGCATGCCATAGATGTGAGCAAAACGGGACTATACAACACAAAAAATGTACAGCCCGAAAAACTCTTGAATTTCTTTAACAGAAAATAGTGATTTTCCTCCCCATTTCTTTCCTTTCCTCCATTGTTAACAAATGCACAATCATATTATTATTGTAATGCAGTGTAAAACGTTTCAACTTTCATTACAGAAAAAAAACATCCAAACTCTGCAATCCTCCACATGTCTACTTAGAATAACTCACTCAGTGGCATTTACTTCCAAATAAATAGATATAAGATTAGGTTGTTGTGAGTTTTCCAGGATGGCCATGTTTCAGAAGCATTCTCTCCTGACATTTTGCCTACATCTATGGCAGGCATCCTCAGAGGTTGTGAGACCTCACAACCACTGAGGACGCCTGCCATAGATGCAGGCGAAATGTCAGGAGAGCATGCTTCTGGAACATGCCCATTCAGCCCGGAAAACTCACAACCCAGTGATTCCACCCATGAAAGCCTTCGACAATACATGAGATATAAGATTGTATGCTAAAAAGTTCCACCCCTTACTTTGGCTTAACACCCAAGTGGTATGTGGATAGTATTGCAGCTAAATATACCGCCATTTTGTACCGCTGTTCTCTGAAACGAACAATAGAATGTGTTCTCACTCAGAAATATGTGGTATTTAAGGAAATGAAGTGTACTTCCAGATGAATATAATTACTCATTTCTTCTCTCTGTCTTTTAATGCATGAATCGTTTTTGTATTTGTTGTTAGCAGGGCCTCCAATTATCGTGCCATTTTATGGGAACAGAAACTTTGCTTAAAATGTAGGACATCGTTCTTCCCCAATTAGTCATAACTGCTGGGGATGATGGAAGCGTTAACCCAACACTTTTGCAAAGCACTGGTTTGGCACAAAGTTATCTTAAAAGAAGACAATTATATTCTATTATAGGTAAGGCATTTTTTCAGTTGCTTGTAAGTTTACACATTTTTTGAAACTAAAACAGGAAATAGAATGAAGTATTCCCTCTAAAATCCTATGTATTCTTTTTTCCTACTAAATTCCAATGTATTGTTAAGATGGGACTGTTCCAACACAAGATCTTAACGGCTGATATATGGTTGCAAATGATGATTCATAGCAAAACTTTCAGGTTTATTGCCTACCTAAATCTGCAAAAACTGGGAAGCTGCAGGTTATATTACATATTAGATGAATTCCAGAATTGTGAACCATTAAACCAAAGTACTTTAATAAATCCAGACAAGAACCAAAGAAATGATTGCCTTTGCCATCCAAGGAACATGGCATTTGCTCAACTCCTGCACTATTTTTAATACTCAAGAATACATGGGAGTCAAATACAGTTGCATCTCTAAATTAGAACAAACTTACTCAAATCCATTCAAATTTAAGTTGCATTGATTCAGTTGATCTCTAGTTTTTTATCAGCCACTGGATTAGATGTTACATTACATATTGTGGGGCATACTGATTTTATTGTGCTACTTTCCTATATATGTAACTCAAATTGCACTACAACTGAGATTTACATTATGGTAAATATTGTTATGTTGGACAGGGGAAGTTTTTCCAGCACTATTCAGTAGGTGACTATTTTTCTCAATCCTCACTTTTTAACTGCACTGCATTGAGTGTTAGGAAAAGCAGGGATTTCTCCATCACCATGCAAATTTTGTGGAATTCCCTCCAGAGATACACCAGAAATATACTATATGTTAGTGAGAGAGACAGTACACTATCAGGTTACTGATGATACATTGCTAGGAAATTCAGTGGCTGTGTTTTCTGGATTTGTGATGTACTTTCCTTATTTAAAGTGTGGAAAGAAATGATGGATCTCTTGCCCCTTAGACAAAAGGCAGCAAACTTTCCAAATGTTAGAGCCCAACTCCCATCGTCCCTGCCATTATCAGAATTGTGGAGCTGATGGGAGCTGGAGTCCAACAACATGCAGAAGGCCACAGACTTCCCCCCGTATTAAACAAAAATGCAGTGATACATATTTCAAACAAGCAAACAATGCATATACAACAGATTATAATACTTAAATCTCAGAACTAGTAACGATTCCTTAGATTCACAGGTTTTGGGATCCAAGCCTTAACATAATAGCCTACAGTATTTTGTTGTTCTTATGGGAATCTAAAGGTGACCCTATCACAGGGTTTTCTTAAGCAGATGAATTCAGATGAGTTTTGCCATTGCCTTTCTCTGAGGCCGAGAATGTGATTTGCCTAGAGGGTTCCTGTGGCCAAACGGTAATTTGAATACTGGTCTCCAGAGTCATAGCCCAATGCATGTCCTGTGAATTTGGGGACATTATGGAGTCCTTTGGGATCGATAATAAATTTTGGAATTTTATTTCACTCTAAAATATTATGGGGGGGGGGGGTCCCTGGGCCAAACCCCCACCTTCCCAGTGCTTTGGGAACATGAAGGGTTTGATTTTTTTTTTCAGAAGTCCATGGTTAAATTCCCTAATTACTAAATTCCCAATATCCCCTGCTAGCACACCCAGTGCAAGCCTCCCAATTAAAATACCTGGGTTTTCATCCCAGCTCTGAAGAACTGAGGGCCTTTCCATCCCAGAAATATCCGTATATCCCAGAATATCAAGGCAGAGCATCCCACATTATCTGAGTTCCAAGGAGATATTGTGGGATTTTCTGCCTTGATATTCTGGGATATAGGGCTGTGTAGAAGGGCCCCTAAGATAGGTGAGAATGTTAAAGATGCTGTGCAAGTGGCTCCAAAGAAAACTGAAAACTGTGAGGTCTAACAAAGAGATTTAAAGTGAACTGTTCCATTAAACTTGGAATATACTCTGCTCTAGGCAGAAAGGTTAAACCCATCTTCTATTTCCTTGACACACAAATTAAGATTCACTGCAGCAGCAAAAGCCATTTGAGAAGCAGTATGACACACATTTTCTTTTTTCATATGTTCTTTTGTTAATGCATACATGCCAATTTAATGCTAATTTAACCAATAAAGGAATGTTTTGCTTTCTTCATATAGATAAGAGAGAGCGAGGCCTATGCAAAGTAAGTGTGGAAGGAAGAAGTGTTAGTGCAGTGTTTCTCAACCTGTGCCCCCCCCCCCCCAGGTCTGTTGACCTACAACTCCCAGAAATCCTAGCCACTTTATCAACTCTTAGGACTTATGGGAGTTGAAGGCCAAAACATCTGGGGACCCACAGGTTGAGAAACACTGCATTACTGGATGGAAAGGAATTGGGTCCCATCCTAACTTATACTATTGTGTGTATATATATTGTGTATGTTATAAATCCACACCAATGTAGTTCACACACTGTCCTGCTCTGCATTCCGCAATGCAGTGTAAACCCAATGCACACTGCGAGCCAACACAGGTATATGATGGATGTTTTTAGTGTTGTAAACCCCACCCGACAAAAAAAAGCGCATCAAACCTCCCTTCCTACTAGCAGCTCCCTGTTGTTTCCTATGTTGGGAGCTGCCAATGGGATGGGGTAGGGGAGATGAATGGGGGAAACCACTTAGAAATCATCAGAAATGGATATGGACAATGACAAGAGCCAAGATGAGAACCTGAAGCTGTGTTTTTAAGGACAGTGGACTCATCCATAAAGTAGAAAGCACTACTAAACGCTTGTGCCCAAGTGTAGTGTTTCCTACTTTATGGATGAGTGTACTGTGAGCAACGGAGGCAACACAAGAGGAGCAGAATCCAGCACAAGGATGGCAAATGAAAGTCGGGAACACAGGTTTGTCCGTGTCATGCATCACATCTTGTTTTAAATACACATGCCATTTGTCACACTGTTGTCACATCATGTTCTTCTCAAATAGTGCAAGTGATGTTCCCAGATATAGGTTATGCTTGCAATGTGTAAAACTGAACTCAAGTAAACTTTGAGCAGGAAGGACAAGAGACAAGAGTCAATTTACTGACACAAAGAGTAAGTATATCTGAAAATTATTCTGCCTCTGCTTTCTTTCCTCACCCCAATTTGCTACTACCTCTTCCACTTGTAGCATAACAATGAGTGATACTCTGCAGTATATCTACATTTAGTAAGCGGAAAGACCTGGGATGTCTGTTGCATTTGCTTACTCGGGGACAGAGAGCCCAAAATCAGGATTTTGTCATATTTATTTCCTTCATTAAGTAAGCTCCTTTTACAGCCATGCACATAACACACTTTTAAAGAACAGGGAGGCCATAGAATCATAAAGTTGGAAGAGACCTTGTAGGCCATTGGGTCCAACCCCGTCAAGAAGCAGGAAGATCACATACAAAGCACCCCAGACAGATGGCCATCCAGCCTGTTTAAAAGCCTCCAAATAAGGAGCCTCCGCCACACTCCGGGGCAGAGAGTTCAATTGCTGAACAGCTTTCACAGTTAGGAAGTTCTTCCTAATGTTCAGGTGGAATCTCCTTTCTCATACTTTGAAGTCATTGTTCTGCATCCTCGTCTCCAGGGCAGCAGAAAACAAGCTTGCTCCCTCCTCCCTATGACTTCCCCTCATATATTTATACATGGTTATCATGTCTCCTGTTAGCCTTCACTTCTGCGGAGTAAACATGCCCGGCTCTTTAAACTGCTCCTCATAGGGCTTGTTTTCCAGACCCTTGATCATTTTAGTCGCCCTTCTCTAGACACATCCCATAGAGTCTGTCATAGAGAAAACTTTAGATGCCTTAAAGGTTACTGTAAAGAGAGAACTCCAACAGTTCCTATCACACAACCATGTAGCAAGCAGCACCTGCTAATATTTCCTCTCCTACAGGAACCATCTCCAGTTCTCAATTTGGCAAGCCTAACTGGAGGGACTGGTTACCACCACTGCTAATGTGGGTTAGTTGAGCATATGCTTCTGAAATGGGGGGGGGGGGGTGTTGATAGTGCTACTACATTTGTATTTTAATGTCCACAAGAAACATTAAAAGCCAATATAAACACAGTGATGTTGTTGTATTCATTCATGGGGAGAGATATTGGCCAGGATTACACAAATGTAGTTAATTTTTAAAATACCACTAAGAAACCGCACTACAAATATTCGGAGCCCTCGTGTAAAGACAGTGGGGTTCTCAACCTGTGGGTCCCCAGATGTTTTAGCCTTCAACTCTCAGAAATCCTAACAGCTGATAAACTGGCTGGGATTTCTGGGAGTTGTAGACCAAAACACCCGAGGACCCACAGTTTGAGAACCACTGATTTAGAGACTGCTGCACTTTGACTCTACTGAAATCAACATGTACTATCAACTATAACTAAATACAGCAGGCACTAAGTTCAACTAAGCTCCTTGGGATCTAATCCATTACTTATAGTTCAACCAAAATAAACCCTACACACTCACATTGCATAACTACACTGTCACTAAACCTGGCAAGTAGACTAGGTGCCATGAAACCAAACTGGAGGGGGGGGGGGTTGGGGGGGGTGCTCATGATGGCCTTCTTGGCCTGCATTCTTTGTTATACATACATTTTAATATTCTGTTTAAAAGGGGACAGTCTGTCGAGTATCAATCATCAGAGAAGAGTTGGCAGTTGCTAGCAAAGCCCTAAACAACAAAAGCAAAGATATTTTGAACAGAAGGGAAGGGGGAAATACTACATTCCACACAATCTTGAACTCCTGACTTACTCTTGGCTCAGCCCTACACTATGAACACTAAGTACAAGGAAGAAGCAAAGCTCCTACTTATATACTTCACCAAACTGTTGGGGAAGCCATTCTGGGGACACAAATAGGAAACACAAAAGGTCTCAATGTTCTTGTGATAGGAACATTGCCTCCCTAAGTGTTCTTGAAACTATATATTCCATTAGTCTCAGCCAGAATACCACATAGTGAGGTGTGACAGGAGATCAAGAATACCTGGAGACAACGTATTCTTCTTCCCTGCTTCATGCAGCAAACTGGAATGCCTGTTATCCCGAATCATTTCTGGCTAGAGCTGATGGGAGTTGAAGCCTGGAGAGTCCCATAATCTCCACCCTAATATAAGATGTGTATGCTTTGAAAACAGGCAAAGGCAAAGCTACCCAAGGCAGAATCGTGGTGATGATTGTCAAAGGATCTACTAAAAAAGTTTGGAGAACTTTGGAAACATTTTATCCTTTGAAAATCTAATCCATGGAAATAAATACATTATTTAAAGGCTTCAATTCTCTTATTTCCACACAATATTTCTGGACGTATCAATATAGTGACAAATTCTCTATATTACAGATTTTAAAGACTAACACAGTTGTTCTGTGCTCACGATGATCAAAAGAAATCAGTCCAGAATTATTTCCAACTTCTTACTGAGAGCCTGGGCACTGTTTTCTAGCCCTGTAATTCCAACCTGGTGAAGCACTCTAGTTTCACATTAAAACACACACAACTGCTTTGAAGCTTCATAGCTGTGCAATGGGTAAAGCGGAAAGGGGGGGGGGGKGACATAAAAAACCGAAGAGCACACAAAATAAGTGTGGGTATGGGGGTGACAGGAAGGACAGCGGAAAAGCAAAGAAACGTTCCTAGTACTCATGAACCTACACAACTACATGGGTTCAACAATATGAAGGCCAACTTACGTGTCAGAAAAACTAGCTTTGAAACTCCATTTTGAGTTTTCAAAAATCCTTTTTGAGCAGTAAGCAAAAAAAAAACACCTTTGTGACACAAAACAGCCCTTTAGAAAGTATGTGGCCATTCAAAAAGGTAAAGGTTTCCCCTGACATTAAGTCTAGTCATGTCTAATTCTGGGGGTTGATGCTCATCTCCATTTCTAAGCCAAAGAGCCAGCGTTGTCTGTAAACACCTCCAAGGTCATGTGGCCAGCATGACTGCACGGAGAACCATTGCCTTCCCACCAACATATTGATCTACTCACATTTGCATGTTTAGGAACTGCTAGGTTGGCAGAAGCTGTGGCTAACAGCGGGCTTCACCTGCTCCCTGGATTCGAACCACCAACCTTTTGGTCAACAGGTTCAGCAGTTTAACCCGCTGCACCACCAGGGACCCTGTGGCCATATAGTGGGATTAAAGTCAGAAGGTGGATCTTACCAGAAGGGGGGAATAAGCTCTGTATGTCTAACCTACCTTGGAGAAGAAAATAAATAGAAAATAGATGCTTTCCATATGGAAAAAGGAAAAGAGGAGAAGGGACTATCATTTTTAGTATTGCCCAAGATATTCCAGACACAGAATAATTACCAAAGAGCAACAGACAATCAAACTTAGGAGCATTGTGCAGTAACAACTTCCAAGCAATTCAGCAAAAAAACTAAGGGACAAGAAGGAAAGGCAAAAGCCAAGTACAAAACAATGTGGGAAAGGACAACAGAAATAGTCTTAGTGACAAAATAAAACAAAGAGTGTGTGCTCAATCTGGAGAGTTCTGCTTACAAGAAATGCATGAGCTTTTACAAAACAAAAGGAAACATCCAAAATAAAAATAAAAACACAGGCAACAGCAGAATCTAGAGACTATTAATGACCACAACAGGTAGGAATCAGCTCTATCAAAGAAGCTTTTTTGTCCTCTTCTCCAAACCTCTCAAATGAATCCACTCAAAAATCCTCAAGCAGTCACTTCCTTCAACTGAAGTCGAAGGAAGAAAAGGAACAGAAGGAATGAAGAGACTCACCAGAGAAAGTAAACTAGAAAATATTCCAGGAAACAGCTTGTAAACAATAAAGTCAGCAACAGAAATATATGGCAACAAGGGAACTCAATCAAATGTGATGTAGCTGTAAAGAAAGTAAATTTCTAATCTTTCAGGAGCACTAAAAGTTTGCATCATATTTAGTCAATAAGATAAGGAATGTTTGAAACAACAGGAGAGAGAATACTCCGACTTTTCCCCACATCAGACCCAAAGGAATGCCTTACTTAGCAGGAATATGAACAGTCCTACTTCATTCAGTCACATCTGATATCTTGTTACTGAGGCTTATATTTGTTGCCCCTAAAGAAATGGCTCAAAGCTTTGAAGAACGATGGTCACTGGGATGCAGTGCAATATCAAAGGGTTGTAATTTGTCCCCTGCCATTTTAGAACTACTGGGGGTCTTCCCTGTCCATATTAATCATACCATTTCAATCAAGGTAGTGGAGGCTCATTCTCTGGAGGCTTTTAAGCAGACGCTGGATGGCCATCTGTTGGGGGTGTTTTGAATGAGATTTTTCTGCTTCTTGGCAGGGGGTTGGACTGGATGGCCCACGAGGTCTCTTCCAACTCTATGATTCTATGGTTCGCTTCCTCAGGTCTGCCAACTGAAAGGAGCAGAGTGAATCCTTACCAGAGAAGGGGGGTTATATTTTGTTACTTGGCTGGAGTAAGCTGTGGTAGAGGGAGGTGTGAATCATGTATATATTTGAAGAGAATACATGTATTCTTAGCCTCTGTGGAAAGGGTAGTATAGTTTAAAACAAGGGTCCTCAAACTAAGGCCCAGGGGCCAGATACGGCCCTCCAAGGTCATTTACCCGCCCTCGCTCAGGGTCAACCTAAGTCTGAAACGACTTGAAAGCACACAACAATCCTATCTTATCAGCAAAAAGCAGGCCCACACTTCCCATTGAAATACTAGTAAGTTTATATTTGTTAAAATTGTTCTTCATTTTAATTATTGTATTGTTTTAAAGTGTTTTTTGCACTACAAATAAGATATGTGCAGTGTGCATAGGAATTCATTCATGCTTTTTTCAAATTATAATCTGGCCCTCCCAACAGTTTGAGGGACTGTGACCTGGCCCTCTGTTTAAAAAGTTTGAGGACCCCTGGTTTAAAACAGTCAAGCTTCCCCGAAGAAACAGAAATATGTTGGAAATACTTATGTAGCAACTGAAGACCTGTTTCTATTCCATTCTGTAATAAAATCTCAGCATCTGAAAAAGTAAATGCTCATAGACCAGTGGTTCCCAATCTTTGGGCCTCCACGTGTTTCAACTCCCAGAAATCCCAGTCAGCTGTTAGAATTGTGGAACCTCAACAAGCAAGAGTCCAAAAGTGGCAGGTTAAAAAACCGGAACCTAAAACCATGACTGATATTGAATGAGAGACTCCACCCTGTGTACACAGAAGACTGGGCGCCTTGGAAGGCGCTAAACAGACTGCACTCTGGCACCACAAGATGAAGCCAACCTTAAGAAATGGGGCCACAAAGTGGAGTCCACAACATGTGAGTGTGGAGAAGAGCAAACCACAGACCACCTATTACAATGCAGCCTGAGCCCTGCGACATGTACAATGGAAGCAACACCAGAGGCACTCCAAGTGGCCAGCTACTGGTCAAAGAATATTTAGTATAATGACAAGGTTTTTAAACTTTGTGTCTCTTAAATACATTACAACTACCCTAGGTTCACTTGTGATACGAAAAATCAATAAGGAATTGTGGGAGTTGAAGTCCAAAACACCAGGAGAAACCAAGATTGGGAACCACTGTCATGGACAAAAGGTTGCATGGCAGAAAAAAGAAGAAAAAGAACCTGTTCCCATATAACTGGAATTCCCCTTTGATGAGGCCTTGCTGTGTGTGAAAAAGCATATACAGTATAAAAGTCTCAGGGACACAACAACAAATGAGTGCATTTCGTAATTTTTTATTTGACAGAAAAAATCTCCTTGCTGTACATATCAAAAAAAATTAAATGCTTTTAAGAAATATGAAGAAACTTCTGTTCCCACCCCTCCCTGATTTAGGGTTTCTCAGCTTCTTTCCAGCAAAATCTCCATTACCTTCCCCCCATAAAATGACTGACTGCCCAGTTTCCAGTCCCCATTCTTGACCCCTCCTGACCTGGCTCAGCTGATCAATATGAAAGAGTCTGCTTCGAGGGAGGGATGAAAAGGAAAAAAAAGAGCACAGCATATTAAAATCTGTTTCTTTTGGGGGATAGGAATGGTCTGATTCTTAATTTTGCTACCATCCAAAGTCAACCCCAGTGCTGCAGGCTACTACTTAAAAAAAAACCTTTTCCCTTCTCCTTAAAAAAAAAACAAAAACGTGCCTGCTTCCCCGAAGGAAGCAGAGGGAGGGGAACTGAAGAGCCGCCCTTCCCATAACTTGCCCCTCATTGAACTTTAGGAGATCTTCAACACCAACATGCACTCCTTCTGGGTTTCATTTCCTACAACCCTCTGCCGTTTCAGACAAGGGTGCCTGAGAAACACTAAATCAAACAGATTAGCTCACATATCTCCCTACTCCCCACCAACCCACCCACCCACCCCCTTTTTGTGTTTTCTTTTTTAAAAACCTTTTATGTCTAAATCAACGAAAAGAAGACCCCTCTCTCAAAACACAGAAGTAAAGATTTTTTTTAAGCTGTAAAACGCACAGGAAAAAACGCTCACAGGAGGGGAGGGGGGGTCAAATGAACGTCACCAACTGTTGGAGGAGGAGGAGGAGGAGGAGCGCAGAGGCAGCGGATCCTGGTGGGTGCTGAGCAGAAATGTCCAGGGAAGAGGGGAATGTAGCTGCCAACAAATGATGGGCAATCAAGACGGGGACAGTGAAGGAAAAAGAACTAATGAGAATAAAAAGCCAATGGCAAAGGAAGAACCTCCTCCCTCCTCCCATGCAAACACATTGGTTTCCAATGGGCATCAGAAGGTAGGGGGCTCCCACCTGGGACAGCACTGAGGGAGGCTGGATGGCGCAGTCTATGGTTGCATGGGCAAGGGCTTTCCAGACTCTCCAAGAAGCTTAGGGGGACCTAAGGAGGTAAAACAGAGATAGAGATGGTTAAGAACAGGCTTTACCACTACAGCTGGCTGCCCCCCTAACCGACGAGCCCTGGAACATGTTATCTCCCACATGGAATAAGCCAGTCACAGGCACATGTTACCTTGAAGTTCTGCGGCGGAGGGGTCGGGGGCTGGGGGATTTGCGTCGCCGCTTCCGCCCTGGGGACCTGCTGATGCTTCGTCTGTTTCTCTGCGTGGACCTGTCCCTGGACCTGTCCCTAAATAAAGGGGGCAAGGCAGAAATAAATAAATAAATAAATAAAAACTTTATTTATACCCCGCTCCATCTCCCCCAGGGGGACTTGGGGCGGCTTACATGAGGCCACACCCATCAACACAATAGACACAGTATACACAAAACATAAAATGCAAAACCAATATAATAAACAACACAGCAATATAAAATCAAACATCAAACACAAGAAATTCCACAGGGTAGGGCCACTTCAGAATTAAAATTTAAAATATAAAAAACACTGGGAGATAGGCAGTGTAGGATTGTCATGACGCGGAACCAGGATGAGTAAGGATTTAATTGCACGAACCATAAACTAAAGTGCTTCTGAAAGTTGAACCAGATCCTATATCAAAAGTTCCTCCAGTTACTTTTCTCCTATTCAAGCAGATCTACCATCAGCAGGGCCTCCAGAGCCTCCACACAAGAAAAACTCAGGGTGGATTCAGATACCTACCTACGTCGGTCCCTTGAAGTCAGGGGTGGATGCACTGGAGGTGAAGCACGGCGCCGTTCTGCTGGGGAGTAGCTGAGGGAACGCGAATCACGCAGCGAATCAATAGGTTTCCGGGGGCTGCGCGACCTACGTACAGAGAAAGGATAACTGGTTAGAACGACATGCAATGGACAACACAGCAAGGCCCACATATTTCTGGAATGGGCACATATTGTTGGAAACAGCAACCTTCCAAGCCTTCGCTATTTGTTTGTTAAAGTTTGTATTTGCTAACCTGTATTGTATGCATATATTGATATGCCAGTTTGACTGACCTCTTTGGTGTGGGAGGGACTACAGACATGTGATGGTACTGGACATGTTCCGACTCTATTTTATCATCTGTTTACTTTTGGACTTCAATGTTAGTTTGCTTTAGACCTCAGTGGAGGTGGATGCATTACAATGGACTTCAATGGAAGCAGTTTCCATTTTGGACTTATGCAGGAACAGTTTACTACTGTATTGAGAAGCGGTGAGTACAGTTATACAGTTTGGACTGTCATAAGATGTATACTTAAAAACTTTGGACTATAGACTATTGATTAAGAATGATGCCCTGTGTTCTCAACACAGAGAAACTACACTGTATCTGTAACTGAAACTTAATAAGAAATGTGCATGTATGCTAAATTAATACAAGATGTTTATGAGTAAACAAGATATTTTACCCTTTTAAAGAAGACTTTGTTTTTTTGTCTCTGAGTGATTATTTTTAAACTAAAAGATTTCGAGAGAGTGTGTATGTTTTGGGCAACTACAATTTCAATTTCAACTTCAAAGAAACATTTCAAAACTCTGCTAGCAAAGTACATGTTTTTTGTGCAGTGCCATGTCTTTGTCCCTGGAAGTTCAAAGACATGGTTTATCAGTTTAACAGCTGAGTTGCCATTACACAAATGCTTGTGAACATCACTTTTTCAAAGGGTTGACTTCTAACAAGGTCATTCCTTTCCTTGACTAGTGGTTTTCAAAAGGTGGTCACCAGATGTTCATGAAGATTCAAAAAGATATGACATCATTTTTCTTTTCAAAAAGGTTATGAATGCCATTTTTCCAAAACATATTGCCTGTTCAGAAACCAGAAGATTCTAAAATGACCTGCTCTTCCATCGTTTTCATAATGACCACGTACAGCAGTTAGCACAGATATTACCTCACATACTTGCCACTGTTGCCACTCATTTGCTCGACCCCTCTGAGAAAGTGTGATGGAGGAGGTGCGGCAGGAGCAGCAAACTGTCCTAAGAAGTCCCCCTTGAGGCCATGGGGCTAGGCCAAAAAGCCTGCTGCGAAGAACAATTTTGTCACATCAGCCTTCCAAGGCTTGGCACAGGACATAGTCAAACTAGATGAGGTTGCCATCCAAATGTTATTGCTCATTTTCCTTACTTTCCCTTATCAGTTCAAAAATAACTCCAAGATTAAAAATGCAAAGGTACGGTTAAAAATAAAAAATGTTACTACACAAGTATACAAACTACTTGTTGGGCATATCAAGACAGTAGCTTCAATTCGCATTACTTTCAACATTGATGATCAATAAATATTTTCAAAATCTTATAATGTGCCATGCACACATGTGTTCTCACATCTCGAAATTTCACATTTTTTTACTCCCCCCCCCCCCCAAGCAATCCTCACTTCCCTGACTTTTCAGAAAGCAGCAACCATGAGTGAAAGTCAGAAAGCTGACTTCCCATATTCACTTCGTAGATTTAAAAATGATTCTCCTTGACAAAACAGCACAGGGAGAGACAAGTGTTGTGGAACTGATCCTTTCACATACCCAGGGAGAAAAAAAAGTGAGGGAAGGAATGGTGGGCACTCCTACTGTGACCCTTACACACACTAAGAAATATGCATGACAAGGTCTCAGAAACCACATTTCAGGCCATGTAAAAATAGTCTAGTAAAGGGTTGCTGTAAGTTTTTCGGGCTGTATGGCCATGTTCCAGAAGCCCAAAAAAACTTACAGCAACGCAGTGATTCCAGCCATGAAAGTCTTCAACAATACAGTCTAGTGAAGAGTGCTACACCACGCAGCTTCCTAGTTCTTTTGATGGCTGGCTGGAAGAGAAGAATATAAGCCAGCAAACATATACAACCTTCCTTAATAGTAATGTTAGTAGACGCTAGGCCCAGGAGTCAGATTCTCACAGCACTAATAAGAATTTAAAAAAGTAGTACCCACCTCTGCTCAAGGCTTGAGGTAGGGCACAACACAGTTAAAATACATAATCATAAAAATACATTCAATAATATGCATATTTTATAGAAATATTTCTATAAATACACATATTTAAAAAACATGGAACAAAGACTAAAATACAATAGACGCAGAATATGAATTTAAAATTCATAGTTAAAAATTGATTGGGCAGGCCTGCTGGAAGAGATAAGTCTTCAGGATCTTAAATTCTGATAGCTGATTTAGCTGTCCAATTTCTTCAGGTAGGAAATTCTACAGATTCTGGGCAGCCAATGAAAAGGTCTCTTGGTTGATGGATGCCAGTCGGGTTCTAGCCGGCTGGAGGTGATTGGGCACACAGTGCTAGCAGTCACTCTTAAGGGACTATCTTGCCAGAAGACAGAACCTGAGTGTTCAGTCAGGAAATTCCTGGGTCCAACCCACCCACAGTGGAGCCAAGAGAAACATAACCAATAGAGAATGTCATCACCTTTGGGCAACAAACCAGATCTACTACCCAATAACCAAATACGTACTTCTTCTTTTCAGGAGAGGGCTTCTTTTTGGGGGCCACCTTGGCTGGCACCTGGGATCCAGTCTTAGCAGGTGATGGTGAGGATGACGAGGACGACGAAGAGGAAGAGGCTGAAGAGGAGGAGGAGGAAGAGGAGGAGGACGACGACGAAGAGGAAGATGAGCTACTGCTGGAACTGCTGGAGCTTCGGGAATGGCGTTTACGCTTGCCCACTTCTGGAGGCTTCTCATCCTGGTTACTCTCCTTCAGCACTGGGCTTGGTGGCCTGGGACAGATTAGAGGACAGAAGTAGTATCAAGCTCACACACACAGAACATATTTATCAGAAAAAATAAGAGGTTTTGGTTGGTTAATTCAAGATTCTTAGTTTTAAAAAATAAGGATACAGATATTTTAAGACAGGAAAGTTATGGGGAAAGCCTGGGAAACTAGCTATCTCAGCCTTACTTCAAAGTTCCTTTCACAATACAGCAGTTATTGCTTCTCTCACACTATGAAAATATCTAGTTTTTCCCGCTACTTGGATTACTGCTGGACTGTGCTGAATATCTCCAAAAGAGGGAAAGGAACTGTCACGTGTATAGATAACTAGGACAGAAGGGAAACCCAGTGAGTGGGAGACTAAAGATGTTCTTAGACCAATATAGGAACAGAGGAGAAGCAATAATCTTGCCACTAAGACCATGTCTTTGTTGGGGAAGCAACCTTCTCAAGCCTCCTCTATATGATGTTTGTCTGTTTTGTAATGTGTTTTATAACCTGAAGTGTATGTCTTATTTGATTTGCAGTTTCCTTATCTCTATATACCTAAAGCAGTGGGAGGGGCTGCAGATCACTGACAGTTTAGAATGTTCCGGTTAAAACAGGATGACAGTTAGGGAATGTCTTTTGATTTTGAGAGGTGTGTTGTGTCGTGAATGAGCTTGAGTACAGAAGCCTGTCAGAGCGCAGAAGCTCATGTTAGGAAGTTAGAAACTGTTGAGGCTTTTATTTGAAAGTAAATTCTTATTAAAGAGAGCTGTATAAAGCAAGATGGTTTATGAAAAAACTGTTAAAGATTACAAGTTCAAGATACAAACTCTCTAAAACGTTACTGAAGTTTTTAACCCTAGACAAGAAATGTGTCTGTATATTTAAATACATGAAGTTATCAGTAAACAAAACTTGTTATTGGGTTGTTGTGTGTTTTTTCGGGCTGTATGGCCATGTTCCAGAAGCATTCTCACCTGACGTTTTGCCTGCATCTACGGCAGACCTCCTCAGAGGTTGTGAGGTCTGCTGGAAACTTGGAAAATGGGGTTTATATATCTATGGAATGTCCAGGGTGGGAGAAAGAACTCTTGTCTGTTCAAGGTAGGTATGAATGTAACACCTACCTTGATTAGCATTTAATGGCCTAGCAGTTTCCACAGATGTATTTCCACCGACCTCACAGCCTCTGAGGGTGCCTGCCATAGATGCAGGCAAAACGTTAGGAGAGAATGCTTCTGGAACATGGCCATACAGCCCGGAAAACACAAAACAACCCAATGATTCCAGCCACAAAAGATTTCAGCAATACACAAAACGTGTTATCTTTAAAAGAAGTCTGCTTGCATCATTGACTGCTGAAAGCATCAAACAAAAACAAAATGTCTACATGCCCAACGATCATTCATTACCAAATAAACTCTGCTACCCCAATGGTCAGTGATCCTAACAGGACATGGCCCATTATCCCAATAGTCTTAACAGAGTCTGTAGCATATGTTGAAAATTCTATAACTTAGGATATTTTGTGCAAGGTTTCCAGTGGTCAGCCTCTTGCTATCTGAACTTATGCCAATTTCTCCGGTGTTGCCTCTTTACACACGTCCCAAACCCCAAATTTATCTAAATACAATGAAATGGGATCTGGGGGAAATATTTCAAACTGTTAAAAGCAAATATACATACAGTCTCGCCACAGATGATTAAATGGAACAAGACAATTGCCTGAAGCTTAGCTATGGTACTTGAGGCAGAAAGCAATTCTACAGTGTGACTCCTGCCAGGAATTGTAAAATGACAACAGGGTGGCCTCTTGTGGACAAATGTCACAATTGCATAATTGAAAAAGATAGTGGACAGAAGCATTTTGGAGAAGCAGCTATGTCAAGCCCATTAGAGCAAATACACAGAGCACATGAGGCACCTTAAAAACTATGAGAACTGGTTTTCCCCTAGCACTGTGGTTCTCAACCTGGGGTCCCCAGATGTTTTTGGCCTTCAAATCCCAGAAATCCTAACGGCTGGTAAACTGGCTGGGATTTCTGGGAGTTGTAGGCCAAAAACATCTGGGGATCCCAGGTTGAGAACCACTGCCTAGCAGATTTACTTTGTAAGAGGGAAAACGCAAGCAGTACACAATGCATAGACAAAATGGAGGAAGCACTTCTGTCAACTTGTCAAGTCTACAAGGTAAACACAGGGAGTATTTATCTGAAAAACACATTGCATTATCTGTAGGCTTGGCTGTTACAAATCTGAGCCTGTACAGCTTTAACCATATTATTCCTTACTTGTTTACAGCACCCTGTAGTCAAAAGGCTGCCTAACTGCCAAAAATGACAAGAAATTGTATGCACGAGGGATCAGAAAGAATAGAATGCACCATCTCTGTTCTGTCATCCCACTTGTATATCATTGAGGGGAATGGCTTCTATGGTTCTGCTTTAAATGCTTGTTTAGCTCTCAACCAGAATCCAAGTTCTCTCACCCCACCACGCCATATGTGTGATAAGCACAAGTATGCTAGGAAGATAAGTTATCAGACTGTAGGAGCCTCCCTTTTTTATAAACGCCTGTCTGAATGTGGTTTGTTAATGTTACAGGATTTAGTTTCAAGAAAGCATAATATAGTACAATTAATTCAGAGGACTGGTATAATAAGGTATAATAGGCCATGGTTTGTGAGGGAGATGTAGCAATACACCTGACTTATAAGTGGGGAGTGGATGCACAATTCCAGCGCTAAAGTAAGAGCAGGCATGGGCAAACTTAGGCCCTCTAGGTGTTTTGGATTTCAACTCCCACAATTCCTAACAGGCTGTTAGGAATTGTGAGAGTTGAAGTCCAAAACACCTGGAGGGCTGATGTTTGCCCATACCTGAACTATAAGGCTATTTAAGAGAGAGGAAGAAAACTAGGCTCTTACTTTTTCAGTTCAACTTCAGCCACAATTTCCTTTGTTGCTTGATCTTGAGGACTTGATTCAGAGGAGCTGGATTCTGAATCAGAAGTTGAAGAGGAGGAGGACGATGAGGAGGAGGACGATGAAGAGGTGGAAGAAGCAGATGAACTTCTCTTTGCCTTTGAGGGGACGGAGGAGGGTGGTGGGCAGGGAGGAGAGGGTTTTGGGACTGTGGTACAACTGCCCTTGGAATTCCCTTCTGTGGCATCACAAGCTGACTGTGGCTCAGCCTCAAGCATGGGGAGGTGGCCTTCAGGCCTTTCTATTACATTAGCTTTAGCAACCGACTCTTCTTTGGGGACTGAGCCAAGAACAGAAACCAGGGCTGGCAAGGGACTGGAGGAAGCAGAGGAGGAGGAGGCGGGGGATGGCGACCTAGCTTTGGACAGAGAAGGGGAGCCTGCATGAGAACTGCTTCTCCCTGACAACTGTGGAGCACCAGCAGCTGGATCATCTTTAAACAGACCAGACTGTACGGTCTGACCCTTATCTCCTGGGATGTTGTCTCTGAGAGTGGTGGAACTACCATTCTTCAAAACTGCAGGGGACTCCCGTAGCATGGATGGTGTAGGAGAAAGGATCTTTTGGGATTTGGGAGAGTTCTCATGAGCTGGACTTGGAGTCAGAGCAATGGCAGCGTTGCTTTTGCTGTGCCAGAGGGAAGAGACTGCTGATTTCTCCTGGCTGTCAGCTTTAGGGTATCTCTCCAGCACAGGAGGGGAGCGGGATTTCCTTGCTGGAGAAGTGCAAATTTCCCTGGAGCCTGATCTGGAATGCTTCCTCACAGGAGATGTCTGAAAATCAGGAGATGCTCTGGACCCGGTGCTTTTATAGGCTGCTGTGGCACGTGAAGCATCTAACCTTGGAGGTGAACGGGATGCATTCCGGCTGGCAGAAGACTGCTGAGGAGAGAGCCTTGACATCTCTCTTCGTGCTGGTGATCGGGAATTATCCCTGCGTGGTGAGCTGATAGAGCGCTCACCCTTCCGCTTGAAGTGAGATTTATCCTGGCGAGATGGGGACCGTGAATGACTTCGCCCTGGGGAAGAAACAGACCTTTCTCGCCGCAGCAACCCCCTAGACTTGTCTCGTCGCCTGGAGAGTGAAGGAGAGCGGCTCCTCTGTGAGGGCGAGCGAGATCTTCCCCGGCGTAAGGAACTTCTCCTTCTGTCACAGTGGGATGATGATTTAGACCCACGTAGATTCATGCTGGTGTTTGACTTATCTCTGGAGCGTGATCTGGATCTTCCACGCCTCAGAGGTGTTTGAGACTTCCGTTTGGGGCTCAGTGGTGACACAGATCGACGTCGTCTTGTAAGCGGTGTTCTAGATTTTTCTCTCGGGCGCGGAGATGATCCAGACCTGCGCCTTCGGGGAGGGGTTCTAGATTTCATTCGAGGCCTGGGGGAAGATCCAGACCTATAACGGCGGTGAGGTGGAGTTCTGGATTTCATTCGGGGCCTTGGAGATGACCCAGACCTGCGCCGCCTTGGAGGAGTTCTAGACTTCAGTCGCGGCTGTGGAGATGACCCAGATCTACGTCGTCTTGTGGGTGTTCTGGACCTTATTCTTGGTCTTGGTGGTGATCCAGACCGGCCACGTCTTGGTGGAGTTCTGGATTTTGCTCTAGGTCTAACTGGTGACCTTGACGTTCGGCATCTTGGGGGTGTCCTTGATTTTACAGGTCTCACTGGTGACACAGATCGGCTAAGAGATTTTTCTTTCCGTTCTGGGGAGGAGTCTGAACTGCTGTCACTGGACTGCCTTCTTGGCTTCTCCTTGACTTCAGTATATGACCCTGATCTGCTCCTTCGAAGTGCATCCCGCATTGTGTCTTTCTTCTCTAAAGGCAACCTAGGACCCATCACTTGACTTCTTGATGTTTCTCTTGCTTCTGGAGAAGCTGCAAGTTTGGTGTGCTTTGCAACTGCTGCTGATGTGCCATTCTTGATTTCTGGGGAAGAATCTGACTGCCTGTGCACTGGGGATGGCGTAGATTTACTTTTGTTGATTGACACCGCTGCAGAACGACTCAGTTTGGGGGGTGATCGAGATTTGTCATCTTCTGGAGAAGATGATGATGAAGAGGAAGAAGAGGATGAAGATGATGAAGACGATGAGGAGGAGGAGGAGGAAGAGGATGAACCAGATCTACTTCGCCTCAATGTAATCTCTGGCTTTTTCAATCCTGAGGGTGATTCCAGCTGGCCTTGCCTTGAGGGAGACTGTGATTTATCTTTTCCAGAGAGAGATGAACCTGATTTACTCTTCTGGCATGTTGAGGTAACTTTTGCTGTTACTGCCAAGGAACCAGATTTGTTGTGTCTTGGAGGTGACCTGGATTTTTCCTTGGCTTCTTGAAATTTATTTTGCTTTTGGGGAGATTTAGATTTGCCATTGAGTTCAGGAGATGATCTTGATCCACTTCTCCTGGCAGGTGACATAGACTTCTCTTTCACTGGTGAAGGTGAAATGCCAGATTTCACCTGCTTCAAAGGTGATTTAGATTTCTTTGCATCAGGAGAATATCTGGACTTGCTCCTGGGAGGTGATCTAGACTGTTCTTTTACCAGTGGTGAAGAGCCAGACCTCCTTCGTCTTGGAGGTGATCTGGATTTTTTCAAATCTGAAGAGTCAGGTTTGCATTTCTCCAATGGTGGAGTGGGTTTCTTTTTCGGTTCAAAGGAAGATCCAGATGCAGTTCGCCTTGGAGAAAGAGATTTCTCTCTCAACGCTGGAGGTGATCTACTCTCCCTTAGGTGTGGAGACTGAGGTTTTTCCTTTGTTGCAAGAGACCTCCCTGACCTGCTTCGCTGCAATGGAGATGTAGACTTTGTTCCTGGTGAGGCTGTTCGTGTTGGTGATAAGGAATTTTCCTTTGATGACTGAGAGGAACTAGATCGGCTTTGCCTTTGAGGTGAACTTAACTCTTTCTTCAGTCCTGGTGATGTTCCTGATCTTGACTTCGTTTTTGCTTCTGGAGAACACTCAGACCTGTTTCGCCTTCTTGGCAATCTCTCTTCCATATCTGAAGAGGATCCAGATCTGTTGCTTCTCACAGGTGACTTAGATTGCTTCCTCTGTCCTGGAGATGAACCAGATCGACTTCTTCTGGAAGGTATCTTAGACTTCTCTTCAACCACAGATGAAATATCAGGCTTCTTTGTGACTCTTGGAGATGAACCAGATCTGCTCCTTGGAGATGGTCTGGACTTATTTTTGAGTCCTGGAGGAGTCCTGGATCTGCTACGTCGGGCAGGTGATCTAGATTTCTGCTTTGGGGTTGGAAAAGAACGAGACCTACTGCGCCTTGGAGATAATCTTGACTTCTTTTTCAACCTTGGAGAAGAAGTAGAACGACTGCGCCTCAGAGGTGTTCTTGATTTTTTCTTCCTAGATCTTGGAGAGGATCCAGAACGACTTCTTCTGGGAGACAACTGAGATTTCTTTTTTGCCTTTGGTACGGAACCAGATCGACTGCGCCTGGGAGATGCTCGCAACCTGCTTCTCGGTCCAGGAGATGATCCTGAACGACTTCGTCTCAGTGGTTTTCTGGTTCTGTCTCTTATTCTAGAAAAAGAATCAGAGCGACTTCTCCTTGAAGAAATTCTAGAGGCTTTACGGCCTGGAGATGACACAGACCTGCTTCGTCTTGCTGAAAGCATAGATTTCTCTCTCCTCGGTGAAGAGCTTGACCTTCCTCTCCTGGGAGGGGTTCTGGTTCTAGACCTGGCTCTTCTAGACTGAGTCCGGGATCGAGACCGTACTCGTCTGGGCGGAGTCCTAGATCTAGACCGGCCTCTTCTTGGTGGGGTACGTGAGCGTGATCTTCCCCTTCTAGGTGGGGTTCTTGACCTTCCCCGTCTCCCACTATTTCTGCTTCTAGACCATCCATGCCTTTGAGGAGTTCTAGAACGAGACCAGCCACGCCTCTGAGGTGTACGAGACCGTCCCCATCTGGGAGGACTGCGTGATCGTGACCTTCCCCAACGATGGGGCGTTCTTGACCGAGCACGCCATTGTGGACTGCGAGAACGGGCCCTTCTCAGAGGAGTCCGCGAACGGGATCGGGCACGTCTCTGTACCGAGCGAGATCTTCCCCTCCTTGGAGGTGTGCGTGATCTTCCTCTCTTAGGTGGGGTGCGAGACCGTGATCTACCTCTGCGAGGAATGGGAGTTGGGGAAAGAGACTTGTCTCTGCGGCTGGTCCTTGGCCTGGTGCTCTTGGATGGAGGCGAGCCTGATAGTTCACGTCGAGATGTGGTCTTGGATTGTTTATGCCCAGAGTGGGAGACTTCAGGGGATGAACTCAACCGCTCTCTCTGGGTAGAGGCCTTCTCTTTGTCTTGCCTTTTTGGGGGCTCCACTGGGGAAGAGCTACGAGAAACTGGGGCTGGCTTTCTTGCTGGGGAAGGGGAAGAAGAGGAAGAAGAAGAGCAGCTACCACTCTCTGATGGAGAATGGGAGTGCCTGGAAGTAGAACCTTCATGGGAGACTTTCCTTGACCTGGTTTTAGAAGGAGAAGATGACGAAGCCACTGGCTGCTCCTTCTGGTCTGGGGACATCTTAGACTTGGTTAGTGGAAGAGTCCCATTCTGATCCTCTGCTTGCTTTTTAGGGGGTGGAGAGGCATAGGTAGGAGACTTGCTCTCTTTAGAGGAAGGACGATTGTGCCCTGAGACTTTTTCCCGAGGAGGATCATTTGGCCCTGGAGAGTGATGCTTGAGTCTTGATTCCTGCTCAAATGAGGGAGTAGATTTCCGACCCCCATGCCGAGAAGACTTTCTCTCCTTATCTTTTTCCTTCTCTTTGACAGGAGATAAAGGACTGGCTGATCGTTGACGGGTTTCACGAACTGGAGAATGCTTGGAAGAGGTTTTCTGAACAATAGAAATATAACAATAACAACTTAGACAACAATAACAACTTAGACTCCATGGTTTCTCACATACAACTTCAATGGCGTTAGGCCAGTTATTTTCTAAGTCATTAGATTAAATATGCATACCTCCCGCTTTTCTCTGTTTTCTCGAGGACTTGTGCTCCTGCCCCGCCGGGCAGGTTCAGAAGAAGATGAACGAGCTCTATCTGGCCGACTCTTTGAAACCACTTCACTTTCTTCTTGTTTCCGTGAAGATGTTGAGGGAGACTTGCTCTGATGTCTTAAGGCAGATCGTTTCTGGGTAGAGACGCTGCCTGACCTGCAGGTGACAGGTAATAAAGAGATACTTGCAACTAAGCTTATCTTCAAGACTCTGCCCAAAGCTTGATATCTGGTTACAAGCTCTTGGATGTCCATAACAGTACATACCTGCTGCGGGAACCATCTGAAGATGAAGAACGATGTGCCGAAGAAGAACGATCCCGACGTCCTTTTTGAGAAGCAGATTCACTAGTGGACCTAAGCGAGTGAGTTTTTTAAAAAGTTGCACATATGCCTCAGAAAGAAGGGAACTATACAGTAGACAAACAACTATGTTACCTCTTCCGTTTCTTGTCCTTAGATTTGTGTTTGCTCTTAGGACTTGGCGACCTGGGAAAACAAATTTGCTTTGAACCATTCTGGAAATAATTAAGAGCTTTATGTACACCCACTGTTTCCTTTCTCAGTCCCTACGCTGTTGGCTACAAAACTTTCCTACCTTTATATGAAGATGAGCTTGCCCCTAAACTAGCTCCAAATTCATAAACAAGAGATCAACAATATAGTCATGTAGTCCACTACATTCATGTCACCTTTCAGCTAAGCAGCTTTGGTATTCCTAACTTACATTGTGATTAACACTAAGCAAACAAAGTAAATGCTGCAATTTACTCTTTACGTCAAGGAACACTGTACATACTAGAGCACAGGTCCTCAAACTATGGCCCAGGGGCTGGATACGGCCCTCACAGGTCATTTACCCGGCCCTCGGTCAGGGTCAACCTAAGTCTGAAACTACTCGAAAGCACACAACAACAACAATCCTATCTCATCAGCCAAAAGCAGGCCCACACTTCCTATTGAAATACTAATAAGTTTATATTTGTTAAAATTGTTCTTCATTTTAATTATTGTATTGTTTTTAAGTGTTTTTTGAACTACTAATAAGATATGTGCAGTTTGCATAGGAATTCATTCATGTTTTTTTCAAATTATAATCCGGACCTCCAACAGTTTGAGGGACTGTGACCTGGCCCTCTGTTTAAAAAGTTTGAGGACCCCTGTACTAGAGTATAAGCCAAGCTTTTCAACCCTTTTAGGCTGAAAAATCTCCCTTCAGCTTATAATTGAGCCAAAGTTATTTATTATTTTACTGGGTTATTACTATTTTTATTATTACATTTATCATTTTACATTATTATTATTATTATTATTATTATTATTATGTTTACATTATATTTACATTATATTATTATATTTACATTTTATAAGGATATATAAGCACATTTATATGGAGGAAGGTTAGAAGAATTATTTAATCAGAGTTTGACAGTCTTATCTTAAATTACAGTTTTATGTAAACATTCAAAAACATTTAACCTACTAATGCCTCAATTAATGTCATTTTATTGGTATCTATTTTTATTTTGAAATTTAACAGTAGCTCCTGCATTTCCCACCCTCAGCTTATACTCGAGTCAACACATTTTCCCAGTTTTTTGTGGTAAAATGAGGCACTTTGGCTTATATTCAGGTCAGCTTATATTTGAGTATATGTGATATACTACTGCAGCTTACCTGTGCTTCCTTTTCTTTGACTCTGACCTGAAAAAGAAGAAAAGAGTTTTTACACATACAGCATGTGGTCTAGAAAAAAAGAAACGTGAGGAGAACCCGAAATAATGGTTTGACAAAACAATATCCCACAATGCTACTAAAGTACAAGTGTGACTTCCAAACACTCCAGTCCAGATTGCCAACACATAATGCTACTCTAATAAAGGAGACTACAATGTATAGGGAAAGAATAAACTGGACTATTCCATGCCCCCAATCACAATTAAACATTTTTTCACAAAATTAAAAATACGGTATATTCATTTACTTACTTCATTATAACCATTAACTCAAATGACAAACAGTCTGAAATGATTCCCAACCATCACCACAAGCCTGTCAACTTTTTCCCAGTGGAGTCCTCACCTGTGTTTCTTTTTCTTTGAACTTTTCTTCCTCTCCCTTCGAGAAGGTGACCGGCTCTCAGACCTTGAAAGAATAACCAAAAGGAACACATCACATATTTCCAAGTTCAGCTGTGAGCCCACAAATCCAAACTCCTTTGCCTTTCTCCCTCTCTAATGTATACTTCTTGCCAAACCTACATCCAGCCCCTCTACTCTCTGCATCCCATTTCGGATCTCTAGAGTGAACTCAAGTGTCTTGACTCTCCCACGCACCTGCCTCGGTCTTTCTTCTTTTTCTTTTTTTTCTGTTTTGGAGACGGTGATCGGGAGCTGCTGGACTCTTTGACAAGACTGGGGAGATAAGGACAGGAAGTGAAGAGTCATGTTCCCAACAAGCAGCTAAGCCAGCAAATGAGAATTCTCCTGAGCCTTAAACTCACAAGAAAATAAAGTGGACCAAGTCTATGACAAAACTGTCAGAAATACTAATTAACTAGGTATTTTAACTACAAAAATGTGAGTCAAGTATTGAAAGTGTTCAATGGATGCAATGACTCAGCAAAAGCTTCATTTCAATATTAGTAAGCCTGTAGCTTAGTACGCTTCAGTGTTAGTTGCCCTCAGTATGAGAGAATCCTCAGTATGAGAAGGCTCCAGTATTAGTTTGCCTCAGTATGAAAATGCCTCTGTGTTAGTAGGCCTCATTGTGTGAGAAGCCTGGTGTGAGAAGGCTTCAGTGAGAGAAGCCCCAGGTTGAAGGCCTCATGTGTCAAGCTCCAGTGTGAAGGCTGTTGTGTGTAAAAAGCTACTTTGTGAAGCTCCTGTGTAAGTTCGGTGTGAGAGGAAGCTCAGTGAGAGCAAAGCATGAGAAAGAAGGCCAGCATACAAGCAAAGAAGTATAAAGAACTTTGTGTTATGGAAATCTTGTTCTTGTAAACAGTGCAACCATTTTATTTTGCTATAAAGAAAAGCCTCCTAAGGAAGATATAACATTAACCTGTGCATTTTTGTTCTTTTTATCACTTTTGGCTACTAGTCCTGGGTCACGTTGCTGCTAATAAGTTAGCCTGTTGTACATTTATGAGAAGGATCTTTGGTTAATAAGCCCACTTGCCCAACATAATTGATCTTGAGTATATCCCTTACAGAAACAACCCCCATTTTTTTAAAAAAAAAACTTTTAATCAAGCAAGGAGACCAAATACTTTGTGGTCTAAATCAACTCAACTAAATCTAATGGATCAATGGGAACTTTATGTAGTTCCCACAGATCCTGACTAGCAATTGAATTAAAACCAGGTTTTCCTAATATAAGCTGAAGAATACATTTCATATGTCTTAAATGATATAACTTTAACATCTTTAGATGCTGTATTCTATATGTTTCATACATTTTAAAAACTGTTAGAAACTGCATTAAATTTAGAAACTAAAAATAGAATGGTAAAATATTTCCTCTTTAAAATAAAAGTGCTAGAACCTTTTCCTCGGTCACATCCAAACCACTCATTTCCTCTCCTACCTGTACTGCTTTTGCTGCTCCTGCTGTTGCTTGGCTGCAGCAGCTGATGCCGCCTCCTTGGCCCTGCGGTTGGGGTCAAAAGAGCTGCCATCCACGTAGTTGTCACTAATGCCAAAGGCAGCTCGAAGCCTCTCATTCTTTTTCTCGTTGGCCTCAGCCAACTGATGGGTCTCAGTGACACTGGAAAAGAATGACAGCAGTGATTAGAGAGAGAAAAAGGCAACTGTGAGAGACATGTGAAGAGAAGAGCAGAGAAATAACATCATAATCAAGAGGCCTTACTTACGTTGGCTTCTGCTGCTGTTCTCCCTCCTTGACTACCGCTACATCCTTCTCAAGAAGCATCATCCGAAAAGTGGCTACCTTCTCTTGGATCTCCCCAGCTCCATACCTAGGTTGTGTAGATCAGAATGTTTAGGAAGCTTAGCAGATCAGATTCACACATAAACTACCCCATCTTTCATGAAATAGTACAAAGTGTTTCAAAAATGTATAAATAGCAATGGATACAAAAAATGCACCACATTGACAATTTTACATATATCTCAACAGGCATAAATGAAATATAAACCACCAAGTCTTTTCCTTGATATGAGCCTTCAGGAAGCCCCTGTTTTTACAGTTTCCACTCCCCACACCTAAATGCAGGGATAGTATTAGCCTGCATTACAAAGTTGTTCTAAGATTACAGTTATTTGACTTTACAGGATATTTTAAAGTATTATACCACCTGGCTGGGAATATTGTGCAAGAGCTGGAATGGCTGTGCCACATAAATATTCAGCACTGATAGTAAAGTATTGCTACGCATAGTATTATTTTCTCCAGAGTAAGAAAAATTATTTATTTCTATCATCGGAACTCTTCAATTCACGTACTGCTGCAGGTTCTATGAGTTTTTCACATCCTACTAAACACATTTCCCTACAAGCTTGCTGTCAGGGAAGGGAAAACATTGTTTAAGTAGTTTATCTATCTATCTATCTATCTATCTATCTATCTATATATATATATATATACACATACATACATACATACATACATACACATACATACACCATTATGCAGGGATTCTTGAGCATGTCCCAATGAAATTGCCAGTGCCACATCATTTTTACCTAAATTATAATATTCAAAGGCTTCATTTTAATAGTTCTGAATAATTAAGTAACCCAGACTACTGCAAAGATCCAAAACCTGGTGAGCTACTTTCTCCTTTAATTACTGAGAGTCTCCTTCAAACCCTTAGTTACAAGTCGTTGTTCTCACTCAGCCTCCCATCTATTCCCATAGTTATGTTACAAGTGTTTTCACCTCTACTCTTCTGTAACCACCTACCCTTGCTCTTCCATTAGCTCAGCCAGTTCTAAGCATTTCAGCTCAACTTTCCGCTTGCGCTCGTGGTCCAGGATGTCCTGATTGGGTTTTTTAACTAGAGACGACTCCAGCTTCCTCAACTCTTCTTCTGACTTGTAGTCAGTGCGATCCTTCTTGTGGCGCACAGCCGAGAGGTTGCGCTGCACGTAACCGTTGGTGCCACTGCCCCGGGGAGTGGGGAGTCCTATCCCATTGTACATGGCTCCCACAGGCTAGCACCACTGGTGCTTCTGATACCTAAAGTAAAATACAGGGAGTATGTCAAAAGACAGGAATGAAGAGAAAGGAAGAGCAATGAAGCGTTTTTGCCAAACATTCCTCGTACTAGGAAAAATAACCTTCCTCTACCTCTGCAAACTGAAGCAAGAGACAAGATGTACAGAGAACAGCAATGAACAAAACTGAAAACAAGTATGCATCCTTATAGCTCCAGCCTGCATTTAGCCCGACATCTGCACACACTTTCCTTTCTTCTCTATTTCTGATAGAAGTCTCAGGATATAGCCTGCTCAGCTTTTCCTTCCTATTAAACACATCTTAACCCCCAAACTACGTTAATACATCTTGAGGGTTGCCCCATCATCACTCTTATTCCAATATTTCCTGTGTAGACCCCATCTACACAGACTATTTAAATGCAGTTTGAAGCTGGCTTCCACCTTTTATTTTCATGTCAGGAGCAACTTGAGAAACTGCAAGTCGTTTCTGGTGTAAGAGAATTGGCTGTCTGCAAGGGCGTTGCCCAGGAGACACCCAGATGTTTTGATGTTTTACCATCCTTCTGGGAGGCTTCTCTCATGTCCCCACATGTGGAGCTGGAGCTGACAGAGGGAGCTCATCCATGCTCTACCCAGATTTGAACCTCCGACCTGTCGGTCTTCAGTCCTGCCTGCACAACAGTTTAACCATTGCGCCACAGTGGGCCCCCAGACTCTAACTGTGGGGGGCAGACAACAAAATCTCACAAAAGTGTGCAAAAGAAAGCCCTCAGTGCATATCAATGCCACTCAGGTCTCAAAGTGGTCCCAGTATTTCCTATGTAATCATATGCAGAGTGAAACCACTTTCTTCAATACTGGTTTGATGCCTCTTCCACACTGCCCCTATATCCCATGATCTGATCCCAGATTATCTGGTTATCCCAGGTTAACTGGAAGTGGGGACACATATAACCCAGTTTAAAATAGAAAATCTGAGATCAGATCCTGAGATATAGGGTAGTGTGGAAGGGACCTGAAAGTGCATTAAATAGTCAGCACAGCCTGTCCCTAAGGCTTATGGATTTTTATATATTTTTAAATATAAATGCATACTAATAATGGCTGAAACCATCCAGAACTGGGGAAACCAAAAATAACATTTATTTCAGACAAACAATAGGATTACATATATAGACACCCTTTCAAATATAGATTAGAGTCCAGAGTTAGCCCAAAGCAATTTGCAGCCTGGGGAACAACATCTCTATAAACACATATGGTGACAATCGTCTCCTCCTCAGAAAGGCTTCCTTACTCTTTGAAGGAATTTATCTCCTGTCATGATGTTCGTTTGCAACCTTCCCCTCCCCTTAAGCCTTATTATTTGAAGGGATATATCTACTGGCCTGATGTATGATTGCAACCTTCTCCCTCCCTTAAGTCTCCTTACTTTTAGGAAGGAATATATCTCCTGCCTTGATGTTTGGATGCAACATTCCCGTCCCTTTAAGCATCCTTACTGTTAGAAGGAATATATCTATTGTATTGATATTTGGTTGCAACCTTCTCTTCCCCTTAAACCTCCTTACTCTTTGAAGGAATATGCCTACTGTCCTGATATTGTCTTTACTTTAAATAGTAACATGTCTCCAATCTTGAAGTTTTCTTGCAAACTTCCCTTCCCCTTAAGCGTCCTGATTCTTAGAAGGAATATGCCTACTGTCCTGATATTGTATTTCCCCTAAGAAGGAATATGTCTATTTTCCTGATATTTGATTGCGTCATTCCTCTCCCCTTAAGCCCCCTTATTCCTTGAAGGAATATATCTTCAGGATCATGATGTTTGGATGCAACCTCCACCCCACCCCCCACTTTAAGCCTCCTTACTCTTTGAAAGGATATATCTACTGGCCTGATGTTTGGTTGCAACCTTCCCCTCCCCTTAAGCCTCCTGATTCTTTGACAGAATATGCCTACTGTCCTGATATTGTCTTTACTCTAAGGGCCTTCCACACAGCCCTATATCCCAGAATATCAAGGCAGAAAATTCCACTTTATCTGAGTGTGGATCAGATAACCCAGTTCAGAGCAGATATTGTGTGATTTTCCACCTTGATATTCTGGGATACATGGCTATGTGGAAGGGCCCTAAGAAGGAATATTTCTCGTCTTGTTGTATTTACTCTAAGGAGGAACATGACCCCCATCTTGATGTTTAGTTGCAACTTTCCCCTCCCCCTAAGCCTCCTTACGCTAAGAAGGAACATGTCTTCCATCTTGATGTTTGGCTGTAACCTTCTGTTCCCCTTAAACCTCCTTACTCTAAGAAGGAACATGTCTATTGTTTTCATATTGCATTTACTCTAAGACAGTGGTTCTCAACCTGGGGTCCCCAAATGTTTTTGGCCTTCAACTCCCAGAAATCCTAACAGCTGGTAAACTGGCTGGGAGTTCTGGGAGTTGTAGGCCAAAAACATCTGGGAACCCCAGGATGAGAACCACTGCTCTAAGAAGTATCATGTCTCCCATCTTGATGCTTTCTTTGGAACCTTCCCTTAAGCCTCCTGATTCTTTGAAGGACTACATCTTCTGTCTTGATGCTGCATTTAGACTAAGAAAGAACGAAAACATCTCTTGTCCTGATAGTGCCTTTACTCTAAGAAGGAATATGTTTCCTGTCTTGATACTGTATTTATTCTAAGAAGGAACATGGCTCCCATCTTGATGCTTGGTTGCAATCCTCCCCTCCCTTTAAGCCTCCTTACTCCGAGAAGGAATAGGTCTATTGTCTTGATGTTTGACTGCAACCTTCCCCTCTCCTTAAGCCTCCTTACTCGGAGAAGAAATATGTTCACTTTCTTGGTATTGTATTTACTCTAAGAAGGATCATGCCTCCCATCTCGATGGTTGGTTGCAACCTTCCCCTCCCCTTAAGCCTCCTGATTCTTTGAAGGAATACGTCTCCTGACTTGATACTGGATTTAGGCTAAGAAGGAATGTGTCTACTGTCCTGATATTGTGTTTACCCTAAGAAGGAATACGTCTCCTGTCTTGATACTGGATTTAGGCTAAAAAGGAATATGTCTCATGTCCTGATATTGTATTTACTCTAAGAAGGAATACATCTCCTGTCTTGATACTGGATTTAAGCTAAGAAGAAATATGTCTCCTGTCGTGATATTGTATTTACTCTAGGAAGGAATAGGTTTCCTGTCCTGATATTGTATTTACTCTAAAAAGGAATCTCTCCTATCATGATATTGTATTTGCTCTAGGAATGAATATGCCTCCTGTCCTGATATTGTATTTACTCTGGGAATATGTCTCCTGTCCTGATACTGTATTTACTCTAGGAAGGAATAGGTCTCCTGTCCTGATATTGTATTTACTCTGGGAATGAATATGTCTCCTGTCCTGATATTGTATTTAATCTAGGAATGAATATGTCTCCTGTCCTAATACTGTATTTACTCTGGGAATGAATATGTCTCCTGTCCTAATACTGTATTTACTCTGGGAATGAATATGTCTCCTGTGCTGATATTGTATTTACTCTAAGAAGGAATATGCCTCCTGTCCTGCTATTGTATTTACTCTACGAAGGAATATGTCTCCTGTGCTGATATTGTTTTTACTCTAGGAAGGAATACATCTCCTGTCTTGATACTGGATTTAACCTAAGAAGAAATATGTCTCCTGTGCTGATATTGTATTTACTCTAAGAAGGAATACATCTCCTGTCTTGATACTGTATTTAAGCAAAGAAGAAATATGTCTCCTGTTGTGATATTGTATTTGCTCTAGGAATGAATATGCGTCCCGTCCTGATATTGTATTTACTCTAGGAAGGAATATGTCTCCTGTCCCAATACTGTATTTACTCTAGGAAGGCATAGGTCTCCTGTTGTGATATTGTATTTACTCTAAAAAGGAATATGCCTCCTCTCCTGATATTGTATTTACTCTAAGAAGGAATATGTCTCCTGCCWTGATATTTGGTTACAACCCCCCCCCCCTCCCGTTTTAAGCTTCGTGCTGCCTTCTACCTTCGTAYTGACTTGCAGATGCCCTCCCTCCGTGGGCCTGAAAGGCTCCCTTGTCTTCCCACCCACACCTTCTCCGGCCTGGCTAAAACCACCCCATTTCAACCCCGCTCCCCTCGGTGAAAACAACCCCACCGCGCAGGTCCCTCCAGCTCAAGGCCTGGCCAAAAAAAAAAAGCCCGCCACTCGGCGTCCTCGCCGCCCCCCGCCCCCATCCCCGCCCTACCAATCGCAGCTGGGAAGCCCGAGGCCTCCCCGGCGGAGTAGGCCTCTCTCTCTCTCTCGCCCAGCCTGCCCGCCTGCCCCCCTCGCGCAGCCCAAGGGAGGCCGCGGCCTGCGCCACTGGCTCGCRCGACTACCTCATCCGACGCGGCAGCACGAAGCCGCGGCGGCGCAGGGTGACGGGGAAAGGGGGAGGGCAGCCTGCGCTGTCCCCTCACGGCCGTCCAAGTCGCTCCCGTCTGCCCCTTCTCCTCCCCCGTTGGATCATGGGAAACGTAGTCCTTCCCCTCAGGAAACCGGGCCCGCGGACGCTCACAGGAAGGGCGGGAAAGACTACGAGTGCCGGCAGGCCACGCGGCAAGCGCGAAGGTCGCCCGCCATTTTGTCAAAGCGCTCCGAGGAAGGGTTGCCCTGAGGGGGGGGGCTTTCCCTCTCTTCTCGCCCCCGCTTCTAGTCCCGTTCTCCCCAAACGCCGAATGATCCGCGGTGTAAATCGGCAAGGAGCAAGCCTCGCGAGGGGAAAGAAGAGGAGAGAAACCCTTGCTCCCGTCGGCCACCGCGCGGCCCCCAATTAGAGTCAGCGGGGGTGGGACGCGGAGATCGCAAGGGGAGATCTCGCGAGAGTTGCTGAGGGACGTACGTAGGCGCTGCGGCGTGCGTCTCTCAATTCGCCTCGGAGTACTTTCCGTGATGCATGCCGGGAATAGTAGTCTTGCCAATGCTATTGCGTCGTAACAAGCGCTTCGGGCTACTTGCAAACAGACTACAATTCCCAGCAGGTACCGGGTTAGAGGCGTCCCCATCCGTTCACTCCGGCAAAGTAACAACCAGGGAGTTCTTTCCTAGAAGAGCTTCCTGTTAAGAATAATTGGGAAGTTTAGCTAATTGCGGCCTTTTCTTCAGTACCATATAATCCCTAATATCTACTTTGATCTGGAGTATATGAGTCTACACTGTCATATAATCCATAATATGTGTTTTGATTGGGATTATATAAGTCTACACTGCTATATAATCCCCGATATGTGTTTTGATTGGGATCATATGAGTCTACACTACCATATAATCCCTGATATGAGTTTTGATTCGGATTATATGAGTCTACACTGCCATATAATCCATAATATGTGTTTTGATTCGGATTATACGAGTCTACACTGCCATATAATCCCTGATATGTGTTTTGATTGGGATTATATGAGTCTACACTGCCATATAATCCCTGATATGTGTTTTGATTGGGATTATATGAGTCTACACTACCATATAATCCCTGATATGTGTTTTGATTGGGGTTATATGAGTCTACACTAATCCAGTTCAACAGATAATCTGGATTTTATGGCAGTATAGAAGGGACCTCATATAATCCAGTTCAAAGCAGATAATATGGATTATTTTAATCTGGATTATATGACAAAATACAGACACCAACACCCCTTCTATACTGCCATATAAAATCTAAATTATCTGATTTGAACTAGATTATATGGCAGTATGGACTCATATAATCCATTTCAAAAGCAGGTAATGAGGACTATCTGCTTTGATAATCTGGATTATATTTCACAACAAACCTGAAAGTATGCAAGTTAGTTAAGGTCAATCAAATAAGTAAGTAAGGATTAAAATAATTGATTTAAAATGAAAAATAGTAGGATTAATTAATAAGTAAAAGTAAACTGTGCAGAAAGCTAGTATCAAACTGGGGATCATTACAACTTCCAAAGAAACTCTTGCCGGTAAACTACAGCAGCATATAAGACTAATGATGATGATAATAATAATAATAATAATAATGGCTTATTATTACAGCCCGAAAAGCTTACATCAACCCAATGATTCTGGCCATGAAAGCCTTCAACAACACAATAATAATAATAATAATAATAATAATAATAATAATAATAATACATTTTATTTGTTACTGGCCTCTCCTCATGGCTCCTAAAAGAGAAGGGCTCAAATAAAACAGCATCTATCAAGCATTAAACAATTACCAGAAACTGAATTAAAATCAAAATATAAAAGCAGGATTAAATACTACATGAATTAAAATTGGGAAGAAAAATCTACAGCCAAACCCCACTTCCACTGAGCTATTGCAGAACAAGAAGAACAAAGAAAGGGTAAAAAGAGATCAGAAATAAAGTGAAGGGGAAAGAATATCATTAAAAGCACATGCCTGCCCCCCCCCCCAAAAAAGTTAAGGCAGGCATCCCTTAGCTGTGATTTTAATAGATTCTTTCCCCTTCCCTTGATGAAAATGAGGCTATAAATCTTTTGACCTAATCATGAAAAGGCATGACTCACTAGAAAAGGCAATAACACTAGAAAAAGAGGAGGGGTGGGCCTGTATTACAGGTGGATTGACTCAGGCCCCACACTGCTGTATAAAATCCACATTGAATTGTGTTATATGGCAGTGTGGACTCAGATACCCAGTTCAAAGCAGATATTGTGGACTATCTGCCTTGATATTCTGGGTTATATGGCTGTGTGGATGGGCTCTCAGTCAAGGAAGCCGAAGAGCGGAGTATGCAAAACCAGAGCAGTGCTGTTATGTATGACTCAGTGAAAGCTCTGATTCATAAGATACTCATAAGACTGACTTGATGGCACACAACAATAACAAGGGCTCTCAGAAACCCCGCCCCTTCAGAACAAACCCTCCCAAAATATTCTGCATTACAATAAAGACACTCCAAATAATGTATTATTGTTGGACAACCCCTTTTCCCCAACCTGCAACTAGTACAGCTTTCATCTAAAATCAGAAGAAAAGGAGAGAACTGAGTCAAAGAGGAGAGATGACATTGTCACTCTGCTAATCAGAAAGTCCTGGAATTTTAACCTTAAAGACCCTGAGGTCAGTACAGCACTGTCCTCAGGCCATTTTTCCTGTAAGTGTATAAATATAGTTTTGCTGATTCATACGTTAAAGTTGTTTTTTTCCATAAATTAATTTTCATTTATTTATATAGCGCCATCAGATATCCTCATGGGCGATCAGTCCCTGCCAAGTATTCTTTTCTTCCAGAGGTAGAGTCTTGGCGGTGGGTCCTAGCCTGGAACCACATGGTCTTTCACGTTGAAGACATAGATTTCCAGATGACAAGGGTTTGCTTCATACGTCTTCCTCTTGAAATGATTATTCTCAACCATCAACTTCGCTAGAGTAACAACATTGCCTGAATGCCCAGTCGCTGTCTCCCAAAACAGTTACTTTATTCCAAACTTAAGAATGGGAAATTGAATGTTGAGGAACAACAAAGGAGATTTAAATATGGGCTTAAAGCTTACCTTAACACAATGTAGCATAAATACCATGAATTTGGAAGACCTGGCATTCGAGCTTTGTAGCTGGAGGTCAGCAATGGTGCTATGGATACACAAATACAGGGCAAAAGGATGCACCATCAGTGTGCAATGCATGATGCAGGAGGAAAAGTAATTGTTCTGAAAATTATACAGAATACCAATACAGGTTGAAGCATCCCTTATCCGGAACTCTGAAATCTTCCAAGTTCTAATATTGTTCACATGAGTGGATTGGATAGTGACACCTTTGTTCAATGTACACAAACTTTCTTTCATACAAACATTTTTTAATACTGTGTCTATAATAACTTTCAGGTAATATGTACATGAAACGTAAGTGAATTTCATGTTTAGTCTGGGTCCAATCTTGAAGATATTTCCATATGTACATGTACGTGTTCCAAAATCTGCAAAAAGCCCAAATATTTCTGGGCTTTTCAGATAAAGTATTTCAAGTATTTCAGATAAAGGAAACTCAACTGGTACTGCAATTGTGTCCTGAGCTATTAATATTTGAATGACCTGCCTTGAGTCCCGCTTGGCAGGGAAAGGTAGAGGATAGGTTTAATAAATTAACTAGCATATATACACACCGTTGTCTGGGTGTTCATTTTCTTTCTGGCTCTTTCTTTTCTTTCTCCCTTCCTCTTGTTGGGCTGTAATTCCCATCATCCCAACCTTGCTTAGCAAAGGGGTAAGGATTTTAGGAGATACAGCCTGGCAACAAGGCTAAGCTATCTGACCAGATAGGAGACAAGCCTCAGTCATGAATGATAATCACATGGCTGGACTCCAACTACCATCATCCTCTATCAGCCGCTCAAATCCTGCCAGTGTGTTAAGGTGGATCATGAAGGGTACGTGTACCACATTTGGTCCAGATTCATTGTGGATGAGATTCACATAGCTCTCCATATGTGACTAAATTACAACTCCCATCATCCACTATCAGCCTCTCCCCAAACCCCAGCAGTTTTTAAAGATGGATCATGTAGGGTATGTGTACCAAGGTTGATCCAGATCCATCCACCTGTATAGGAAGGTTTGTGGATCAAACAAACACACATACAAAGTACATACATCATACTTTGACCTTTATATCTATAGATTAATTAAGTGTCATGTGACAAGTACTGAAAAACAACGCCGTTTTGCAATTACATAGCCCAGTTTCTCTATAACTATTGAGCAATCCCACGGTATCAGTTCTGGATGAGAGGACAAGTGACACAGTACGGGAAAACAGTCATCGTCATCATGTTTCCTCAACAGCATACGGTTTCCAGTGTGTTGTATTTCTCCTGCCGTGCCCTTGTGAAACAAAAGGGAAAATAGATCAGATCAGAAGTATGTAATGCATGATGCAAGAGGAAAAGTCAGACGAGATGGCTATGTTTGGTCAAGGAAGAGATAGCTAAGATGATGACAGTGCCTTTCAAGTATTTAAGAAACTGGCCTAGAGAAAAAGAAATGTGTCTACGCCAGAGGGGACTTCCAGTTGTAATCCTGCTTTCCTTACCAAACAACTGTTTCCTTTATGGAAAATCCCATCATCATAATTTGAACTTCTCCATTTGGGCTGCTATCAAGGTGTTGAATTTGTACTCTTCAGGCTGTATAAATGTGGTACTTTATATATACAAGTTTTACTCAAGGTTCCTGATGGATGTTAGCATATAAACTCATGTATAAGTCTAGGACAAATTTTGGGGCCAAAATTAGGGATTTTAGAATGACCTGTGGATAAGTCAAGAGGCATTCCATACAGAGGAGAAGCACTAGGTGTTCAAAAAGTCCAGAAATGGTGCTTTTAAGTTCTCCCAAGTGCTTTTCACCACTCAACTCAGAAAAAGGAATATTCAATTTTTATATAGAATAAGAATTTCCGTTATGCAACCCCTCATTGATGGCCTTCCAAGTGTAGGGTTTTGATGGTGGATTGGTAGATGACTGTAGAGCCCTATTCTTGACCCACATTTTCTTCTACAGTGAGGGTATCAGTTTTCAGGTGGAAGACGGATCCGGTCA